GGGGGCAAGGGCCTATCAGGTAATGGGTCGCCGGAGTCCAGCCGCAGATATCCTAGTCCACCAGTAGCTAGCGCAGTTGACTTCAAAGGTCCCAACTTTGTTGATGTAGACGGGGCTATCATCTCCCTCACCTTCTAGCTGGCATGCCAGGTATCCATGTTCATCCTGGCGGTGCTTAAATCTCCTGTGAGCCTTGGAGATATCCCCGACTACCGAGAAGGCCGTCTTCCCGCCCTCGATCTATCATCTCCAGTAGCAGCTGCTTCTTCTCCCGGGCCCCCCGGGCCCTTATCTTGAGGCGCTTCTTGCCTTTATCTTCATCTTCCACAATCACCGCCAGCGCGGTTAGCTTCTCCATCATGCCCTCCTTTATCTCCTCCAGGTGGTCACTCTTTCTAGCTCCGTCCAACTATCTCCTTCTGCAAGGACTCTCCTATCGTGAGGCCAACGCCCCGGCGAGCAGAGGCCACCACCATCGTGGAAAGCCTTCACCCCTTCCAGCCTATCACATTGTCTTGGGGGGCCATGGCCTCCCAGTAGCCTGCCGCCTTCAGGGGCACACACTGGATAGCTCTCCTCACTATCCGGGACACCACGGGGCACCCCCTCCGTAGCAGTCGTAGCTGTGGTGGTGTTTAAGAAGCCACCGCCAAGGAAGCTATCCACTGGCACATGCGCGGTGGCCAGCACTCCCCTGAAGTTTTGAAGAGCCCTGTAGCTTGCCCTTAGCCAGGGCAGGGGCCCTGTATAATAGGCTTGGCTATCGAAGCTGGGCTCCCCCAAGTAGCAAAATCTTGGAAGCTGGATCTTGGTCTTTAGCAGAAGTCTCGTTGGCTTGGGATAGCTGGCCCCCAGCTCACTTTGATGGAACGCACAGGAAACGTATCCTGGTTTATCTCGAACTTTAGCAAGCTGCGGCCACTGCCACATAGAACTGGGTCGCTGACCCATGTGTGGGCCGTATCTCATGGCTCCTGGTTGCTCCATTAGCAGAAAAGAGAGCTCAGTATCCAGCGTAGCCAGGATGACTCGCAGCAGAAGTCCGCGAAAATGTTTCCCAGCATAGCCTTATCTCGTTCAGCAGAGGTGAGGCTATCAAGTCCTAGCTTCTCACTGGGCGTGGTCCTTTGAAGTTAGCCCACACCGCTCTCGTAAAAGTAGAGCAGGGGGGCGACATGAGGATAGCATCATACGATCCAGAACGTATCTTATCCAGAATCCTTTTCCTCTGCTTGGAGTAGCTGAGGTCTATCCTGGGTTTCCGCTGAATATCTATGCACTCCATCGACACCTTGTATCCAGAATCTCTGCAAACCTCCTGGAGACAGGAGGTCATATCATGTTTTCTCGGCGTGCCCGAAAATAAGTAGAGCACTCGGTAAATCTTATCCGGAGTAGCTTTCTTGAGGGCCTCGCCTAGCTTATAGCCTTCCTGGCCCACTAGCTTGTAGGCCATTTTGCGGATAGCCTGGTCATAGCTGAGGACCAGGGTCCATGGCGGTATCGATCCGCCCTGGCTTTCTCCCGAGCGTAGCCCACACACATAGTCTCCAAGCAAATAATCTTTGTATTTATCGAACACGTCGGAGGTGACGTCCGATATCTCCACTCGATTCGTGCGCCGTAGCTTGATCATAGCTAGGGCATTGAACATCACTGTTAGCCGGCGACATAGCTGCTCTGGACCCGTGGGCATAGATACCGTGGACGAGGCCTTCTTTATCGTGATGTGGCCCTTGCTATCCCACTGCGGTATCATGCTATCCGGGTCTACCTCATCTCTGCCCACCACCTCGCTTAGCGTCTCGGCCCGGAACTCCCCGGACTCTAGCTCAGCTAGCTTCTTCTCGATGTACTCCTTCGCCGGGATGCACTTATCCTCGAGTTCTCCGAATGACTTCGCGAAGGACTGCCTCATAGCCATGTAGTCCGTGGTGGGGATGGGCTTAGCCATATCCCTGATCTTGTTGGACGCCTCCGCATCCGCTTGCGCTTTCGCTCGTATCTGTGCGGCCTGCCACGCCACTGTGTAGCTAGCCACTTGAGCTCGCTTATCCAAGGACGCTGCGGGGTCTAGCGAGAATTCCGACTTCAGCAGGTCGGCTAGCTCTCTAGCGCTTGTAACGAAGGCCGCGAACTTAGCCAACGTATCTATCCCGTTCTCGAATAGCTTACCCTGGCGGTCATCCTTGACCCCATGGTTCGTTAGCAGAAAGCGAAGGTCCGAGGACCCTAGCAACAACTTATCGGCCGTGGTCAAGGACATGGGGGGTCTCCGCCCCAACTATCGCAAAATCAAGTCCAACAATTCGAGACAAAATCTATCCCCGGAAAAGGTATCCGAAAGAGAGAAAGAGAAGGGGTCTGGATACCCCTATCGACACTAGAACAGAGAAGAGAGAAGGGGTCTGGGTACCCCTATCGACAGCAAAAGGAGAGGAGGGGTCTGGATACCCCAAAGACCCTTCTTCTCTCTTCTTCTCTCTCTCTCTATCTTGCAGGCACAGCACAGAACTTGCAGGTCTGTCCTATCCTATCCCCGTGCTTTGCTTGTGCATCGAAAAGGATTTTCGGACGGAGGAAAACCTTATCCTTGCTGCCTGAACCTTTGCTAGCTCGCCATAGCGATCTCTAGCCGGTATCAAGTAGAACCCCGTCTCCCCAAGGATAGCCCCGTATCCGGACTTTTTGCAGCCACCGTTCCGTGGCGGATCGCTAGCTAAACTATCTCCTCACTCCGCAAAAGAAGCATATCAATATATAGGACTGCAAACAACAGGAGGTTTAGCGTGGCGACTGTACAAGAGGAGTAGCTATCAAAATATCAAAGTGACTATCTGTATCAGTCACTGTGTCGGCCCCCGGCCTCTCGGTGGCAATCCTTGCACAGATGTGGACTATGCCCCTCGTACACTCGTACATAGTCCACATCCGCTGATTGCAAGTATCCTGGTTGCAAGCCGGGCAGAGGATAATGCACCGGAAAATATCATTCTTTGTATCCCAACGGCCTCGTCCTATCTCCATGTCACCGTTTCGGTGACGGACGTAGCCTATCTCAGGTATCACTGGCATGAGCTCCCCCCCAAAAAGGGGGTTAGGAGCTAGCGTATCCTCCACAATGCGTTGCATGTGGACGCCTTTGCCATATCCCTTAGCATTAGCGCCACGCTTGTGGCCTATCGGAAGCTCCGATGTGGGATACTTCCTCCAAGTCTTATCTACACGACCTCTATCATCGACGAAGGTCCTATCTACAAAATACGCCTATCTTTGCGCCGCTGGCTCACTTCACGTGTCCAGGCTCCGGCGCCTCTATCCGATCCAGTAGCGGGGGTATCAGAAGATCCCTGTATCGGCGGGAATTTGCTAGCTGTCCCCCTGCCTCGCATGACAGTGGTATCCACGCTATCTGTAGCCGGAACACCAGTGGAGGAAGACCCTCCTCCTAGCGGTGGCCGCTTAGCCTGCAGGAAGGGCGGCGGCTTAGCGCGTAGCTCCGGCCATCCATCCGTATCAGCGCTATCCAGCTCCTCCTCCCTATCCTGGGAGGCCATCTGCCGGAAACGGTTTAGCAGCATATCCTCGGAGCGCTTAGCCAGCTCCTGTCTCTCCTTCTCCTGCTTAGCCTTGAGCTGGGGGTTGTCCAGCGTCTGCTTAGCGTTATCCAACAACCAGCCTTGGCGACCAGCAGGGTGTTTAGCCGCCTCCGCCTCCTCCGACTCGCTAGCCCAGCTGGAGCGTCCGTATCCAGGATCGAACACGCTTGCGGGGCCTTGAGTTAGCCTGGCTAGGCGCTTTGTTAGACGGCCTAGCAGCGGCCAAGGCGGCTCTCTCCTCCACCTTCTCCATATCGGTAGCCGAAGCAGAGGCGGCCATATCTTCGGCCCACCTAGCACTCTCTTCGTAGTGCTTTCTCTCCTCTGGCGTAGCCATGACCAGACTCAGTCATATCGTTGATCTGGTCCTTGGTAGCAGAGGACCTCCATATCGACTCCAATCTATCCGGGTCGTCTCGGAGAGCTTTTAGCATTATCCTGGCAGCATCTATCAGACTCTCACCACCCATAGCGCAAGATCACCCACGTACGGCTGTGGGCGCCCCAATCCTATCAAAAACCTTTCAACTCTTTTCCCAAGCTTGAGCTAGGCTCAGCTAGCGGGACTTAACGCATGAGTAGGTAACAGTAGCCCTGCATAGCAATACAGTGTCACCGCGTTCAAGTAGCATGCTGCTTCCGGTGCCCTATCAGAGTAGCCATCCTGCTAGGTAGCAGCCTCCTGTAGCAATACACCGAGCACTCCCTTGCATTACCCGACATGAATAGCTAGCTAGGTAGCAGCCGCCTGGGTTAATAATACAGGGTAATAGCAAGACAGTGCAATAGCCTAGCGCACATGTCGGAACTGTGGCGCCCTCTCCGTTTCCCTCTATCGCTCTCTCGGTTTCTCTGGGAGGAAAACAAAAGTAGCTCGCCCTCTCCGATTCTCTCCAAGTATCAAGCAACCCGAGCAAGGCATGTATCAACAACATAGCTTCAATACCAAGCTTGCGCGCAACATGCCCATGAAAAATAACGTGGAAAATCACAACTATCATGTTGGCTCACGCTTGTTTATCCCTGTCGCTCTATCCCTCCCACTCTGCAGGATTCGGCCAGTCCAAGCTATCCCCGTAGCCGTCCCAGCCCTGCTGGGGGGGCTCTAGAGGGATGCAGAAATCTCTGTGGAGCTTTTGAACTCCCGCTTTCTGCCCATCCAACACCCGTTGCCACCAGCCCTATGTAGCCGGAAGATAGCCCCGGGTAGCTCCACTATGACGTATCGGGCCGTCCGGTCGGCAACCTTAGCGACTTTCGAGGAGCTAGCCTGCACCTCGCCGCTTTCGCTATCCTCACTCCCGGCCTCCGCTTCCACGACGGTGTCCGGCTCTTGCGGTATCAAGGTGACCACATCGGTCAGAATCCGGCCGTGCCTCCAATTGTGGGCCAAGGGGTCCACTATCGCTCTGGCCGCTTCATCTCCCAGCTTTCGCCTATATCCTGGAGCCAGTCAACCAGGTTAGCTGCGATCTCTCTCTCATCAAGGGCCTGGTATCTGTTGTCCTCCCGTGCGGCCAGGGCATATTTGGCCTGCAGCCTAGCTTCCACCATCCCAGGATATATTTTTCTCGGAGTCCGTGACTCCTAGAATAGCCAGCGCCGTGGGAAGCACTGATCTCTCCGAATGCTCTGTCCAGTAGCCTTGCACAGCGGACGGCAGCCCTACCTTATAGCCAGCACGGCAGCCGTAGCCACTACCGCATCACCGTAGCCAGCCATCTTCTTAATTCTCAAAGCTAGCCATATCAGGCCTCATCCTCGGGACCAAGTAGTCCCTCTTGAAGGGAGCCATCTCCTTTATCAAGTCGAAGCCAGTTGTTATCCAGGCCTGGTCCTCGAAGAAGGAGACTTCGCTGACGCATACTGGTAGCTCTTTTATCCGGCGATTAGGGCCTGAGGTCTTCGTCCTCCTCAGGATCGTAGATAGCCGCCCCTCCTCCAGGCGTAGCTCCTCCGGCTTTATTGCCTGGATATCGGACCATCGCAGCGAAGCCCACGACTTCACTAGCTTGGTCCAAGCCTAGATTCGTAGGCAGGCTATCTCCTCCTTATCCAGGACTAGCCTCTCGATCTTCACTAGCACCCATGTCGGATATCGAGGAGCTCGTTTGGTCAACGGTGCCCCCTCGGAGAGCATCTCCACTATCTTATCCTTGGTCGCCCACGCAATGCGACCCTCTGTAGCACGGACCTCCAGACGGAACTCCGCTATCTTTTCAAACCACGAAATAGCCTTCATTATCGTCTCAGGCACTGAGCGTCCGCAGGGCTCATCCCTGCGAACTAGCAGGTAGTCTACCAGATCTATCGGTCTGCCAGGCGGCGACAGTAGCTTGGCCTCCTGTAGCCATTGCATAGCCTCCACCTCTGGTAGACCACCACGTATCTCTTCAGCGCGCTGCTAGCGCGGGTCCTTCCCGCTATCATTTCCGCCGCACGGGAAGGGTCAAGGCTCCCCTCGAGCCTCTTGGCCCACATATCCAGAAGTTTCTCTTCTCTCGCTAGCAGCTCGTTGCCAGAGATTTCTAGCTTCTTTATCCTGTCCCCCGGCGGAGGAGCCGGCTCTTGGGTATTGTAGCTGGCCCAAAACGCCGTCTCGCAAGCTTCTTGTATCCATTCCACGATAGCGTCCTCCAACTCTTGGCCTGGAGTAATATTCAGCTCGAAGGCAATTTGCTTAGCAATCTCTCCGCTATCGTTGATATCCAGAGTAGCCATTTCACGGGGGCCGAAGCCTACCAGATCCAAGTGCGCTCGGCACCTATCTAGCACATCGCTCATGGCAGCGCGGATCCTAGCCGCGTTCCCTTTCCCCCAGCACTCAAAATTTGCCCCCCCCCTTTGAGGGGGTCTAGCATCCAAAATGGCCACGATATCATCATGCCATTTATCATGAATGCCAAACCATGCTCATGAAATACTCCATGAAATATCATTAACATGATAACGCAAAAGACCTTCGATCCTTTTGCTGAAAACAGGATTTTTGCTAGCACACATTATCGTAACTCGTTCCTCGTCACGAACACGAGCTGCTACTGCTAGGCTTATGATCAGGTCGATTCGCCGGCGCATCCTGCATTGGTGCATCAACAGAAGGCTCAGCTTGACCTGACTCACCTGCACCATCATTGCCTGCCACAATAGAACCCTTGTGCTTGACTGCTTCCTGCTCAGCATCTGCATCTGCATCTTGCAAAACCAAATCAGGAACCAGGCTTTCGGACATGGTGCGACGCGCCCGCTTCCTTTGTTTAGGAATAGGTGCTAGCATGGCATCAGGGACCACAAGTTGATGTTCATCGTCAAGGAACATGAATTGCGACTGCGCCTTGCGGCGAACCTGTTCTTTCACAGGCCTGCCCAAAATCTTCGCATACACAGCTGCAGCTTGAAGATGTGGAACTGGTTGTTTGTGTTGTTCTGCGGACAACAAACACAGCAAATAATCTCTTGTCACAGTCTCTTGACCAGCCCTAGAATACCATTTCTTTTCCGAAGCACCATCAATGTAATCCGAATCTTTGGGCAAGCCCTTCCGGGACTGCACGACATGATGAGACCAGCCCTGCTTGCGCAATGTTAGCAGCAATTCCATGACCTCCATATCCTCTAGTTGAACGTCTTCACGAACTTTAACCAAGCGATCTTGGTGCGCTAGGATTGTGCTGACTTGAACGCAACGATGCCCTGACATTGACAGAGACCAGCCTCCATCTTCACTCCGTTGCACAAATCCTGATGATGAAAGTTTCTCTGCTGAAAGAAAATGCATCAGCAGCTCACAAATCTTTCAGCAACGCTTCACACACGGGGCCTGAATAAAACTTGGCATCAGTTTCGTTTGGAGCCTTGAACATGTAGGACAACTGGGGCTTTGGCTTCCACTGTCTAAACCCAAGCAAAGATTCAATGAGCAAAGTTTCCAACGAAAGCACCATTGGAGTGGAGACATAATCTGCGCCCACCACACAAAGTGGAGTTGAGTTCACAAATACTTCGAATGACTCTGGCGCAATCTTCCGCAAGCTGTTGACCTTCAGAAAACTCACCGCCCAATCACTTCTTTTGAGGCCCCACTGCTCTGCGCACAAGCTGAAGAAACACGTTGTTCCGCAAAGATAAACTTGAAACATCTATGACAAGATCACCAGATTCACCAGCGTCAGCATCACAGGACGCTGCAAAGCTCAAACTCTGCAAGGCTTCTGCGGAAAAGGGCATGGAATACACACTGTCAACTGCTGAGGCTGCGGAAGAGCTATCTTCCAACACGGGTGATATGGCCTGAAGAATGTGTCGCCTCAGCAAACCATCTGACACGTCGAACGGGCTCTGCTCAACAGGAGCAAGCTGCATTGCCTCTGCTGCTGCATCCTTCAAGGCCTCAGACACACCTGATGCTTGGGGACCGGGACCATCATCAATCGCAGGCAAAGCTTGCTTGCCTATTACCCTACGCAATGGAAGTGTACCAATATCTCCTGCGTTGCTGGAAGCATGATGCTGCTGACCCGGCCTGGTATCTTCATTGCGCTGTGAGTCTGGCGCAAGCAAGGCAGGGGCGGGTGGTTGTGGAGGAGAGCCTAAGTTGGACACATCCACAGCAGGCTGAAAGATGGTTCCTGGGTCGCAGTGGTAAACAATCTTGAGATGCAAGGGGTCACGATAATGGGAAATGTGCACACCTGAAGGGTGATGGCTGAACCCCAAGGACGCA